AAATTACCCACATTATTTAGTTATGTCACACGCTGCTGTCACGTTCTGTGAGTAATCAAAAAATATTTCATCACAACTATTTTCAACTGCATGAACATACTGGGAAACTTTATTGAAATTTGATTGAAATATTTAATCATTCTCGATCCTTTTTGTCACGTCTTCCTTCTCTGTAGTTGTTCATAATTCACTTGCATTATTAAATTATTTTGTAATTTATGTGTCAGTGCTGAACCCTGAGGATGTATGCTTCTTTAATGTCGCACTTAATTATTAAGTTTCTTTATTAAAGTTAGTTTTTAAGATTCAATTTTACTAATTAGTAGGATCTATTTAAAATGTATTGTTTCACATTCTGTGGAATTGAAACCCTGACATCATGCATACCACTAAATTTATGTAAATCTAATGCCAGAGGTTGTAAAAACCCACAGATCTAATTAATAACATAAATGTAGTTTCCCGCAATATACCTTAGAAAAAATGGCCGCTGGGATATCGTTAAGAGTGAGCGAGTCATGAGACTTATTCCGCTCAAATAGTGTTTTATTTACTCTCCATGGTAACCCGTGTTACTGTAAATGCATTAAATCTTAACTGAGTTTTAGGTTCGCTATTTTCGCTGATAAGTAAAAAACGCTTAAATGCAAATGAACATGCAAAATAACAATACAACTCATTGTTTCACCGGCAATTCCGTGAACTTCAAATCCAGTGAATATGTTGAAATTATTACAATAGTGAGATTAAATGTCAGTGAAAATAAATGCTTTTACAGTATTTGGAATGATAAACATGATGATGGATAGAGAATGGGACACTATTTGGCAATGAAATCTCGGCATCTATTTGCATCTATGGTCTATTCATTGAATATTGTTTATGAGTTCAAATGAACATTACGATCAATAAAATTGTGGTACTGCATAGATGAGAGATAAGATAAAAAATGCTTTATTCCAACCGTTCATTGACATTTCTAATTTGGTTGCATTCAAATTTAAATGAAAAAACAATAAGATTTTAATAACAGCAAAATATAAAATGAGATAACTGATAAGGTAATTAAAAATGTATTTTGTTTAAATCCTGTTACAAAATGTATAGGTAGTAAAATAATGCAACAATAATATTGTGGTGTTTTGATTTGAGTATAAATTCAAATTGTACTTTGTTACAATTTTTTGTGAATTTACTGTTTATTGAGATTGTTTGCATAATGCTCAATTAATCACTGTGTTAAATTTTCCCTTATTTTGCTGACACAAAATGTGAAATAAAATCCATTGAGTATTTAAAAAAAGTGAATATCACTGCAACCTCAAATCCGCTAAAATAAAACCCATTGAATATTTAAATTTAACAATAGAATGTATTGTTTGCCAAGTGAACATCACTGCAACCTCAAATCCGCTGAAATTCAACCCAATGAACATTTCCCCCGCTACAGTAGTTGTCTTGTTTTACTTATCTGACTGGTCTTCCACCACAAACAGTATAAAGCAGATAAAATGACTCATTCTGCATTTATGTTTTTATTCTTGAGCATTTAGAATTTAATTGTGACCTAAATTGTTTGTGTTAGATTAACTTTGTGACTTAGCCAGTAAATATTTATTTCCGCTACCAACATTTTTTGATAGGCATAGGCCATAGGCCATTAGTGAAAACATTATTCAGAGATAACAATCTTGAATCATGCTGATAAAATTGTAATCATTTCAAAAAAAATATTCATTCACAGATAGTGAAAGAAAAATATGCAAATTTAAAACAAACTTATGATCTAAATCACAGTCAGCTGGCGTACAATTGATAATAAAATATATTTGATTAATTTATCAATATTTACTATATGGGAGCCGCCATCTTGAATATAGCATGAAACTTAAAAAAAAGAGGAAAATTGCTACGAATAAGGAAAAAATACACAAAATTTCACAGTCAAACGACCTGATGGGATAATATTAAGCAAACTGCTAACAAATTTCATTCAAATTCGTCGTATGGAAAAATCCCTTGCTTATGAACACCTAATTACACAAAGAACATAGAACACTTTCCTGGGGTATTTGAAACCGAAATTGTCATCTAAATGTAAGGCCGTTACTGATTGGCTCCTGAGTTGGAATGACAATTTCTGTTTCAAATACCCAAATTGCAAAGTGTGTTTACTGTAGTACAGTCTGAGCATACTAAGCTAGCCTTAGGCTGGCTCAATCCTAGCTTAACTTGCTTTCAAAACTGCCATGCATGTTTTGTAAACCATTTTAATTTCATGAGACGAGTGAAGATTGTGAAATTTTGTAACAGTTAAATCTTCTTTGGGATCCTTCCACAAAATGTTGTATTCTTGAATACCATAAAATCATTAAATAGCGAAATTATTACAATATGTCCATGTTATTAAACTATGCAGAGTAACCAGCCTGAAATGTGTTTCATATATGTATTAGTCACACAGGTAACTACCAGGGATTTGTTTAAACAAGGGAACAGGTGTGCAGCGCCCTCATGCCATGGCCATGCGCCCCCTTACCCTGGGGAGCAGATTCTCTGGCAACCATAAAATTCTGATTGATCAGGGATCACATGTGGCCACAGTCTTCAATTGTAACCTGTCTGATAGTAATTTTTGCCCGAGGAAGCCATAGAATGCTCCATTTTAACTTAGAATTATCCAAAACTCCACACCCTGGTAGGGAGAACCCACCCATCCCACACACACACACACACACACACACACACACACACACACACTTGCTGGCTCCACTGAATTGCAGTGCTCCGTCTTGCAGTTTTTTTTCGTGAAAAAAACCCGAGAAAGAATACACGTTAGTTAAAATTATTGATGGCTATGATATGACTTCCAATTCCAATTTTTACGAAAAGTTAAAACCAGGTGAGAGCAAGCTCAGGACTTGAATTACTGTGCTGTATTTAATAAATGGCTAAGAAAAACAATGTAATAATTAACAAATATGGCAAAAGAATACTGTATTGTATGCACACATGTGGGGGAAAAATGAAATAGTTAGTATCTGTGGATAGTGGTATGTATTATATTCAGTGCCAACTGATATATAATTTTATTATTAGCAGAAGCCCAGTGCATTTTTACAATATTTTTATGCACACATGTAGGAAAAATTAAACAGTTAGTATCTGTGAGCAGTGGTATGTATTATATTCAGCGCCGACTGATATATAATTTTATTCTTAGAAGCCCAGTGCATTTTTACAGTATTTTTATGCACACATGTAGGAAAAATTAAACAGTTAGTATCTGTGAGCAGTGGTATGTATTATATTCAGCGCCGACTGATATATAATTTTATTCTTAGAAGCCCAGTGCATTTTTACAGTATTTTTATGCACACATGCAGGAAAAATTAAACAGTTAGTATCTGTGAGCAGTGGTATGTATTATATTCAGTGCCGACTGATATATAATTTTATTCTTAGAAGCCCAGTGCATTTTTACAGTATTTTTATGCACACATGCAGGAAAAATGAAACAGTTAGTATCTGTGGATAATAATTTTTATGGACTGTTTTATTTTATTATGACTGACACTAGCCAAGCAGTTTTATATGCTAAATATAGTCTGAGTTCTGTAGTCTAGTAAATACCAGTAAGGTCACTGCTTGTCAAATATCAAATGGATGTGAATGGACATGTATTGTTGCTCAGGATGTTTTGAACAGTTTTATTGAATCAGTACTTTGAATTTTATTTTACTACATATTTCATTAAACCTTGTATATAGTAAGGTGTTTGTTTGTTGATTATTTAAAAATTATTAATTTGCTGTTTTTAAAATGTTTTTATCACATAAAAATGTTTTTCAGATTATTTTTTATAAAAGGAATAAATAGTTTTGATTGAAATAGTTTCATTATAGCTTTAGTGTTTAGTTTCAAATCAGTATAATTATCATTTGTGTGACCTTTATAACCACTATAAAGTTCCATTGATACACCTAGGTTTTGCAACTATTCATTATTCACTGAAGTAACATTAAATCAATAACAAAAATTTAAACATTGAAAAATATCTCATAATAGTTGACCAATTTGCATTCTAGGGGGAGGGGGGGTTTATAAACTAAATGTTTGTTTGTGTCTTAAGAGGTCATCTACATGTACAGCCACATACTATTTTCGTGAGGACCCCTCTTTTTGGGAGCCAACAAGCTGATCCAACTTCCTTCCTTTTATTTTACTTCAGATTTAATCAGTTCTGTTAGAGCAACACGCTGCCATAATTCACTCTACAACAGGCACTGGATGATTAACAAAGTAAATAATATAATAGTAAAGACTTTTTTTGTTGTGAACATCTAAATTAGATTTTCTTGTTTTAATTTTATCTGATAGCACTTTCCTGTTGGCTTCTGATGCACATAGATTAAAAAAAAAAACTTTGCTTAATTCTTCATTAAATATATTACATTTACATAATACCGGTAATGCTTTTGCTCTTTTGGATATTACCTTACTTTTGTTTGTGTACGTTCCAAATAAAATATCATATCATAATATAGTCTCAAAAAAGCCATAACATAAAAGTGTGATCTCAGAATACAAGTGAACTCTGTTTTCTAATCATACATGAAGGCAGTATGGCAATCGTGTGCCTGGTCTGTGACCCCATATAACCTGACAAGATAATCTTGTTATTTTCCAACTTGTAGACATAATTTTGATAACAGCCCTAAAATGCATGTAAAAAATAGTTTGCAAAATGTTTGCAATGTTTGCATTCTGTTAGAGGATTATATTTCTATCGCATTCTAGGGTTATGTCGCCCAATGTAAACATTATTTGGAAAAGAGCTTGAATATTATTAAGTAAATTATCAGGATTGTATGTAGTTTATCTCAGATAGAAAAAAAACAGAACATGTGTAAATGTGGCTTTTTACAGAACTCACTTGTGTTGTTATCAAAGCTAGATGGACGTGTGTATAATAATACATGACATTGATTAATTTTCAGATCTTCCATCTGATGTAATGGTAAAAAGTGAGCCATCAGACTGTGCATATGACCCGTCAGACTCACAATATGATATCACCTCACCTAGCCACTCTTCATCATCGTCGTCACCAGTAGTCATTGCAGCCTCTGTAGTATTGGCCAACACAGTACCGTTACCGATGAAGTCTCCACCCCCAAATTATAATATGGCTTCACCACAGTCTGATGATAGTGATAGCACCAGTGCTAAGAGACGCAAAGGGCCGCTACCGAGAACAGATTTGGAATTGTGTCTTGTTTGTGGTGATAGGGCATCAGGATTCCATTACAATGCCCTTAGTTGTGAAGGATGTAAAGGTGAGATAAAGAATAAATCTGTTTTTTCTTCATCTCACATGTCATGCAAGAGATAATCAGC